CTGTAAAGCAATTACTTGCCGGAGTTAAGTCTGCAAATGTAGCACAGTTTTTGCTTCGTGTTTAACAAAGTGAATGCTGCTTATCAATTGGATGTTTTGCAGTAGTTTCGCAGGGAGGGTAGGCTACACGCAAGCCACCACTCTATTCATCACATATTCCCAATGCACAAAGAAATTTTCTGCGAGAAAAAGTAATTACTTTTGCAAGCACGGTTTTAATTTTTATTTATTTTGGAATGGGACGAAAATATGCGAGTACGCACGAAATAAATATCAACCTCCATTACACAGCGTTCATTGACAAGTTGATGGTTATGCAGCTGGTTAAGAAATTCTGATTTTATGCAACCCGCAAGGTCAAACGTGCCACTGGACCTTAAAACGAATAACCCAATACACATATTCCGTTCTTTCCCCTAAGATCAGTTTTAATATTATCCTCATACACCTCCCAAGCGTATTGCTTGAACATCCATTTTAAGTACTAATGAGCGCAATGAAATCTGCAATACTCCCAACGAATTACCAAATTTTTACGCAGGAATTGAGGTTTCAGGACGGCAAGTACGAAGATGGCGGTCTTATAGGTTGTAGCGCCGTGAATCCTTCAGACGGAAACGTTTCAGAGGTACCTGCTACCTCCATAATCAAGGCGATGAGTAACTTAAGGCGACTTATTCCGTTCGTAGTATGGGAAAGGTTAGGAAGGCTGGTGTATGTTCCGTAGCGTCAAGCAGGCTCGGGGGAAAAAGGTGTGACAAAAACTACAACAAGAGGATATTCTTCTCAGCCATCGTTGTGATAAAATATGTAACGGCATTCAAAACAAACAGCTCGTGTCACGAAACTATGGTTTAATTAAATTATACAAACAAAACTATCGAAGAAACAGAAACGAAAAAGTGGCACAGCACTCGTGAAAGTTATTAAGATCTGGAAGGTTATCTCTTTTTCCGGCTGTAAATAGTCACTCCTGTGACGGAAGCACGGGGGGCGGGGGGGGGGGGGGAGAAGTCTGTCCCTGAAGGGAAAGCGGCGCCAGCGTCGTCTGGATCATGATGCTATATCTGGGTCGGGCAGTTGAATGTACGGACACTCAGCCACCGACCGGCGATACTGGGTAAAATGTCCAGGTTCGGTTCTGGCTGACTGCAGTCAGCAGCATCCTGTCATTACTGCCCGTCTCTACATAGCCAATCAAATAACTAACGAGTTGGCTAAATTACTTTAGGGCTAATTAAATAATTAGACAGGATAAGTTTGGTGAGGCATGTAACACGCAAGGGAAAGATACAAACACATTTTGGTCGGGAAACTTGGAAGGAAAGAGACAACTTTAAAGACATAAGCTCAGATAATTTTTTTTTTTTTTGGGGGGGATATTGAAGAATTACATAATGTAGGTTGTGGACTGAATTCATGTGGTTCAGGATATGGACCAGTGGTGAGCCCTGAACCCTCGGATTCGATAGGTGACAAGAATTTCTTGACTACCTAGGCCACTTTTACCTTCTGAAAAACAATTCTGTTTCATGGAGTCAGGTATGAGATAAGAAATCAGCTAGAAAACCAACAAACAATTTAACTTACGGGCCAGCTAAACAAATAATATAAGAAAATTCGACTCAAAAACTGTGAGATCAAAAAACCAAAGAGTTTGTCATATACCACATCTGTAATGATGTCGGTAGTTTTGGGTCTGGATCACGGTTATGGAACCAGAATATTTACGGATTCCCTCCAGGAAAATACCGAGAATTTACAATTCTAAAGTCCGAATACCGACAAAACAAAATGTTAATCCCAGACCGAATTGTTACAATTGAAGGGCGTGGTGCAAAAACACCGAGGCTACGATTTTATAAACTTTCATAAAACAACAAGTACAAAATTAAATGTTTGTGGAAAAGTGTATGAAAACTGAGTTAACCGGCATTGTTTCCATTAAAAGTTCCCTCAAAACGTTTTAAAAATAAAATGTTAATAACATTTTCGCATTTGTATCACGCCAAACACAACCGCGTTGAATCTCGTCCCTGCACCGTAGGACACACTGCAATCACATTCAATTGTTTTGTGTCGCCGTAACTAGGTTACGGGCCTAATTAGCAAGAAGTGAACTTGAATCAATATTAATGCGAGTGGAGGAAATCCTGATTGACACCGAAAGCTGGAGGTACAGTCCACTCGGCTAAAGTAGCCGCCCTGTTTCATCTCAGAGGGTTAATCGATACCTGCACATCGGGTGGCAAGACCTCTCAGTTTAAATGACAAAGAACGAAGGTGTCGAAGAATAAAATGCACAGGAAAACATTTGGCTGTAACGAAAATGTAACAACTAAGGACTGAAGAAAATTACGTAATGAGAAGCTTGATATCTTATACTCGTTTCTAGCCACAAGAGATCGCGCCTTTTGGTTTGTTCCGATTCAGAACCTAACATTTCTGAAAAATTAAATCTTTCAGACATTTTGTACGATTCCAAGGATGAGGGATCAGCCCATCGTAAGATCTGCACTTACACATGACATCGCGACACACAAAAGCCGGACTGCCTTCAACATCAGGGCACAACGCAACATTGCAGAAGACAGTCATTATCGAGTAATAATTAGTTCGAATCTCATCTTAATCTCTCCTCCTCTCCTCTATCCCTTTCGTACTTCTATGTCCCTCCTCCCTTTGCCTCACAGGACAGAATAATTATTGACAGGTGGCTGATAAATACTTTGAAAGAGTGACACATTTAAAAATTTTTGGGAACGAGCGTAACAAATTGCACTCACGACGAGGTTAAGACAAGACGAATTTCGGGTGAAGCTTCCTGCCATGAAGTTCAAAATCTTCTGTCTTCCCTTCTGCTACGTAAAAACGCATGGATAATGACTTCGTGCTTTTGTAGAGGAAAGAGCTCAAGGGTAAGGCTGTCTGAGAACAGAGTGCCGAGGAGAATATTTGGAGTGATGCACATATTCATGGGTGTGACTGTATGGATTACAGGAAGACATTGATTCCTACTGCAGCTGCATGCTAAAGGAATTTCAGAACCAGAGCAAATACTGCTGTCAGGGTGGGGGAGCAATGGGCAAACAGGGGCTCGACATAACCACTGCATCGGTCTCGTGAGAACGGAGGAAGAGAATGAAAGAAGGAAACAAAGAAAGCTGAGGGAATAACAAACAGAAAATAACACAATAACAAACAAATAAATAGAAACGTAAGGGGAAAACAGCAAATACAGCCAAAGAAACGGAGGTAAGAGAAGAAACAAGAAGGAAGTGGGAAGAAATATAGACAGGCAAATACAAAGAACTAAGTGACGGAAGGAAAAAAGGAGAAACGTAGATTGCAGAAAAATATAAATATATGGATAAAAGGAAGGAAAAATAAGACTACCTCTTGTCGAACGTTCCTGACGCCGCCGCTGACTGTAGAAGTGCACATAAATCGACAAGTACATGTCCTTAGCGTTTCATAATGCGTTGTAAAATAACCAAATAAACAGACATAAATGTGAACCGATCTGAGGTGGCTAAGAAAATTAGATCAGTGACGGGCGACGATTTCCATAACAGGGAATTTCTTGGAGGGCTTAATAACTCTGAGCTGCTGTGGGAAGACGCAATACGTAAACAAGTCGGAGAGGGAGCAGACAGGCAGTTGCTGACCCGAGTTAATGTCGACCCCATGACCTCTCTTATCGTGCTAACCAACATTTGACATTGTACTCCTTCATCACACACACTAAACTCATTGTGGACATACCACGATGCTCATCTGTAGCTCGCTTCGACCATAAAGTTATCACCCGCACCTTAACATCACGAGGACGTATGGGGAGCATGGAGGAATATCCATCCAACAATGAATTTAGAAAGCTGATAGTTTCATTCTCCGGTCGCCGTGATAGCCGTCTACAGGGGTCACAGTGGCTCCAGAGCCCGTATGAATTTGTTGAAGAACGGGGAAATTTCTGCCCCTGGTGGGAATAGAACCTCAGACATTCAACACGTATTCCTCAAGGTCCTCGAGGTTTCTGAGTCCTTATAACTCACATTTACACCAGGCGTGTGCAATTATTTAAGTTCGATGATAAGATCGGAATGTTTGGAAGTTACCGAGGGCGTAAGATCCTCGCGAGAAAATACCTGCTGTTAAGAAATTGCCAATTATTCAAAATGGCTGAACATATTTTACCCTACATCAAACTACATAAAACAACTTGCTTTATACCGAATTGGGAGTGAGTTTCGCTCCATTTTCTTATACACATTTAAGGGTACACTAGCCTAAAGTAACAAATACGTGGAGCAAGGACCCCAACGCTTGAAACGGCGTTAGTCTCATTTTTTATTGATTTACTTTCGCGTTAAATGTATTTTCTGTGTACTAAATAGATACGAAAATGTACTAACTGAAGGGGGCCGTATTAATTATAGTCGCTGAGGTGTACATTGTATGGTAGGGAGAATTTAAAGAGAGTCTTGATTAGAAGCTGGCGAAGAGGGCGGCCTGCTTGCCTTCCCCATTCGGTATGGGCAAATCCAATATCACAAGCTGCAGGAAATTGAATCGGCTGGCATTCCATATCGCACAGTTTTAAAACAGATGGGCATGTGAGCACAGTGCATCGTCAGTCCCTTGCTGTGGCCCGCCCCACAGTGACGGTTGGCAAATTTCCTTCTTCAGACAATCCCAAAGTCGATATGTGTGTGCTTACAGAAACCAGCTACTGGAGTCCGTCCTGAGCCAGATGAATGCAGTCCACATCATTATGCAGCACTTCTTTAATAGTATCCTCTCATCTCCGCCTTGTCTCTTTGGTTCAGATTTACCAACCAAACGGCGGGGGATATCTTGACTACATGGACGTACTATTAGCCTTAAAACCACTCTGCTGCTCGCTGGAGTTACTTAATGTTCTTCTTTCTCTTGTATTTTCCCGAAGAGAAGGAAACGATTATTTTAAATTTGAACCAATGGTGTGTGCTGTGTTGCAGGTGACGGTCCACCCAGCGGTCAGCCCTAATAACAAGACGCCACGAGCCTCCACAGTGCACATAGCAACATGGAAGCGGCCGCAACATCTCTCGCAGGTCAGTTGTGATGACACGCGATACAGACTGAGTGCTAACATATAAGGCGGTAGGTTCTGTGGCCAGAAACGTAACTAAATCCTGCTGCTACGCGACCTCACTTTTCCATTTATTAGCCACAAACTTCAGCGCCCTCGTCTTTGTCTGAATTTAAACACAAATCGCGATTATTTCTTTATTAACGACCGCATTAATAATGTTTGTTGGTAATCTGTAGACATGCGACATAGATAGATTGGAGTCAATTTTCAGAACGCGTGTAATTTAACCTCCACGCATTCTAGCCCTCGGTGCTGTATGGAGGCGAATGGTCGGTCAGCTTTAGATTATGGCGGTATTAACCCTACACTCAATGAAGAGGAAATTAGGCGAAATAATGATAATGATGATGACGATGATGATAACCAAATGTCTATGATATACCTTTACACCGAGACCAGCCAAGTGCCGGGTCAGAGACGAAACCCCTGACTTAGGGCGGGGAAGGGGGTGATAATGTGCTGGTTGTCAGGGATATCGCACACCTCGTGAGGCGATGACGAATGAGTATGGAGGAATGGTGGAATGATAATTAACAGGGAAAATCCATGTAAGAACCTGCTCCATTGTCACTTCATCCATCTCGAATCTCGCATGAAGTCAGCGGGGACTGAACACGGGCCTACGCAGTGAATAACCAGCGCGCAGCCGCCCCAGACGCGACCAAAAAAAGGTAACATGTCTCAGAACGTAACCGTCTACCATCTTGGAACATTTCCCTGTCACGAAATGTGAAATGAGCCGTAAGATAAGCGAATCCTGAAGGGACTCGAAGACGCTGATAAGTGCCGTCGACTGAGACGTTTCCTGCTCTCAGGAAAGCGTCAACAGTTCTGTAAGACGCTTCCGGCTGCTCCTTATGCCCACTGAACAGCGCATGTTTGTTAGGCTCGGCAGTGCATCCCACGCGGTGCTGGTAATTCATACACAACACAATTCAAATCGTACAATTAAAGCCTCATTTCTCGATTGAATGAAGCATTAACAAAGACTTCATCCCACTCTTACGCTTTCACAGTTGTTTCCCCATTCTCTTTCAGTCTCCTTTTTGTCTTTCTTTCTGTCCCACTGGCAATTTATCTTTCCCTTTTTCCACTTCCTTATTTAACAGAAACTTTTCAAGTTACAAAATATAGATTTATATTGATTTAAGCCCTTCCTACGGAGCACGCAAGAATAATTCTGGTAATAAAGTAATCATTTACTGTGAACAAAAAAAAAGTGCGAAGTTATAAGGCAGCGTAAGATCAATGCAGATGAATGTGAATCACGTAAGAGATTACACAGAATATCCTCAAGTACACTTCCCTCTAATTGCTGTTCTACGTGTGTTCCGTCGTAACACGGCAGTGTACCAATGGTCAGTCAGTTCTTTCAAAATCCTACTTTGCATGCTCCCGTCCACTTAACGTGTGACTCCCATAATTCAGCTCTTCAGCGTTTCAAAGTTCTTTGGCACAAAAAGATATACGAGAAATCATCCTGCAGATTTAAGTCAGATGACGGTGAGATTTCAGGTTCTCAAGATGACAAATATGAAGATGACTATCTTCCGAGAAGTTGCACCTCGTAGTCTAGCAGAAACTGACAGAAGTTTCAAAGGTGATCACTGCCACCATCATCAGGGCGGCACAACATCCCAAAAGACAACTGCCGTCAAATCACATGAAGTCCTTAGAAATACAATCAACAGTTGGTATAACGGCACTTAACTCACATCTCTGAAATATTTATGTAACAATGGACTAGTGTGAAATCACGCGCAATATTCTATGTGTTTCTGTTTACACTTGAAACACGCGTGGCTGGCTGTTTGCGTTACACCTTGCTCAAACATGAATTGCCACTCACGAAACACTGCGTCATAATTAACCCTTTAACGCCCAGCGCCTATTATAAAAATTAGTAACTTTGCGTTTTGTATGATTCTCGCAGCAAAAGACGATTATTTCCTTAAACAGCATTAACGAATTTATCTTTGTAACGGTAAAGAGTTGTGTTTTCTTCGCGGTACGGACTGGATTCTTAAATATTATTCATTCGAACTTCGGTTTTAAAAGTTTAAGGCGTCCCTGCACTGAGTTCACCGCGTGCTTCCATCACCAAGTCAGCGGATTGTTTATTTATTACAAGAAACTGGAATAAACGAATGAAACGGAAGCAGAAGACCTGGTTGAACCCTTCTATTTACACTGGCATGCATTAACATGAGAAATGTTAACCACGGAGGCATTCCTTAGGCGCATCCCTAATCAAAAGGACTGGAAGGTTCACACCGTGAATACGAAATTCTGTCTGCCATAAGACACGACCCACCCACCTCCCACCCTCACAACCTTTTACAAAAATGGGAGACGTCA